GTAAGCTAACCAAATGAAAGAAAAGACAGAAATGGTCTGGATTTATGTCGAAAGTCGTGTCCTACGCTATTTTATGACAACGGAAATGAGAGTAGTAATTAAACAATAAACAACAAGTAAATTTCACAAAATAACGGATTTTAAGTTAAGGTGTGAGGTCGTGGGAAGTAATCTTTGTTGGCAGCGCAATTTCTCCAACAACCTGCAAATGTACGCCAAGATAAAACCCCATATGACACGATCCACAGTCTACTGACAGTTCAGTGGGGTCCTTCTCTATACTATTGCCGCCCGAAGATTGCAGCTTGGCGGGACGAAAGCAACCGAAATCAAAGGCAGCAAACATCTCTCAGCATAATTAAGCAGTTGAGGAATTGGTGCAGTTGAGCCAAGTTAAGCAGCAAAAGACTCAGAGGTCAGATGCGCGCGCTCGCGACACCTGCAGAGCGATACAAGGCCACAGAATGTGCGAGCATCCATGTGCGTGCGTGCGTGTGTGCAGGGGGGGGGGGGGTGGGGGCGGTGACTGGCGCGTTTTGAGCACAAGACTTATGAGTCATTCAGGAGCATTACTGTGGATGGCGGGTCAAACCCACTTAAGGGAATGACGCAAATGTGGCTGCTGCTGTGGATGCTACACCCCTCCCGCCTCCCGCTGACCCCGTTTTTGACAGACGAGGGGGCCTAAAAGTCACATTCAATGTGCAAGCTGACGCAGAGGCCGTCGTGGATGTAAGAACTCCATCGGGTCGAAGCGATTTCAAAATACACACGAGTACTTGGCAACCGAAAAGAGCAGCTTCTAAACTCTAGTTGCAACAGGATTGTTTCCTCTCTCTCACTGAAAAAACTGGCCATATGTTTGTGCATTCGTAGCAGGTTTTGCGGCCTGGTAGAAAACACATTAACAGGCTTGATGCTAATGAATAGAATCAAATACGGTAGGAGGCCTGTATCATGAAATGTTAACCGAAACTCCGAAATGTGTTTTCGAGTAGGGTAGAAGACTTTGGTGGAGTTGTAGACGAGTTTTGGTCCTGCAGCCCACAGTCTACTGGCAGTTAAGTGGGGTCCATCTCTCTATACCGTTGACCAGTAAACGTTAGTATAAAGGTGCTGATTGCTCTAAATTGTGTGGAGACTGGGATTAACCACAGCGCACATTCAACACTGAGCTGTTACATTTGCTTTTCATATTTCTAATCATTCGACACTGCATATATTTCCAAACATTGGACACATTTTCAGACTACGTCCACTACTGGCGCTACTACTAATACTGCTACTGAAAGTACTCACAGAAATTTAAAGCTATTCAGTTAGTCATGGTTGAGGAGAAAGAATACGGATACGTCTAATAAAACCGAATTCCAGAAAAATACGTTTACAATATTAAAAGGACTAAATGCGCTCTCTAAACCGGTGAACGCCACAAGCAAGGAACTTTACCTCAGGCATTTCTCATCGTTTCTGCATGAAGTAAAAACCGCAAAATACCAGACCTGTCCTCATCAACTGAATCCCCTCCTCTACGGTTCACACTACTTCTATTCCGTAACACGTGACCACCACCTGACGCAAAAACCTTCAGTGGGCATCCGCGTGGTTGGTCGGGCTCAAGGTCGCACGAAACCAATCAATACAATTTAAACCTTGAACTGCGTCACAAAGCAACTCGACATTTTACGATATGCTGAGCCCGTCCAAACTATTGTGCCGTTACATTCAGTGGTGGAACCAGGATCCACATGCAGCTGGATCTTCAATATTGCCCTATGAACAGGGCATGTTCAGTCAGAATAGGGACAATACCTCGTATTCGGATAGCAGTAAGTCCATTTCTTGTATCTTTCAAGATTCATTCTTTTTTTCATCTCCTCGTCTACAACACCTAAGTAGTAATGTGAGTCCCTATGATTGAAGTAATGCGAGTAATTATGAATAAGGTATATGCATCGCACAAGGTCTTTATGCATGCATGTTCTATCTTGCATTGATCGATCCTTTTAACCGACTTGATTTATTTAAGCCAGCTAAGCATCACTTATCCAATACGCTCGACCGAGGATAAGGGATGACCTTGGGCGTAAAGAAGCATTATTTTAGGTTGTTGGTGTCGGCTTTCATGAATCCATTTTAACTCATGACTTTCTACCTATCAGTAGATCAGATTTCAGGTAATCCATTTTCTTTACCTTGTCTTCTAGTTCCTAGTGTATCAAGATTCAATACGTACAAATTTCCCAACTGCGCAACACCCGTCAGCACACTTAGTGTAGCATCGTCATCTACAACACCCATGACTTTTAAGGACGGTAGAAATTCGGAGAGTAAGGATAATGTAAATGCGGAAAATAAAGACGATTCTCCCACTGAACAGGACATAACTTTCAACTCAGATACCTCCATATGGACAACTGGCACCGAGCACACAGCTGTCCGATGGAGATCAGCCCCCTCTAGACTAGGTGAGAAAATCTCCCAAGCAACAAGTTTGGAATATGTCAGTCGCTTGAGCCTCACAAGTGAAGAAGACCTTCGCACTCTGGAAGCTAATTCAACTCCCATAACGCAACCATCAAATTCCGCGCATCATAAGGAGTCGGAAGGTGAAGTGGATAGTGTATCAGCGGCCGGTTCACACCGCTCTATTTCATCAATATCGTCCTCATCCTCAACCCCCAAACTTGATTCGCAACACAGGGACCCGGGACCCCCAACGATAGCATTTAGTGCATCGAATCCCCGTCCGACTCCACATCCGCGATCTCGCAGGTTGGCTCTGGGGCAATCCCAACCAGCAGCCATGTCGCCGCTGTCACCTCCTTCACAGCCGCAGCCACCAACACCGCCGCTGTCGTTGTTGGCACCAATGCGATCAAGGAAGTCGCCACTCCCACATTCTCCACCACCTCATCCGTTCACGGCGCCGATTTCGCCGTCACCAACGCTACCGCCAACGTTTCCCTGTCTGATGGACTTGCAGTCGTGCAGACCATCGACGCCACCACAACGGCCTCGCCCACGGCCGCGACACTCGGCCACCCCGACACACCCAACGCCACCCAATCCGTTGTCCGCACTGGCACACCCACCACCACTTCCACCACCACCGCCACCAGGATGGTTGACCCTGAAGCGGGTGGAGACAGTAGCGACTGCAGAGGAGTACACGCCTCCGTCTCCGTCTCCGACGCCGTCCCCTGCCCC